TAACATACTCTTTTATAAACTTCAGAAGAGCATGACCAGTGACGTTGAAAATAAGCACAAGAATTCAAGGCGTACACTAGACATTAGTCATATCAGACACCTGTGAGGTTATTGATTTGTACTCGTGTACAAATATGCAAGGAAAGTACTCGAGTACAAGCCACTCCTTGATTATCAAAACATACACTACTCACACACAAATTAACTACATTACAACAACACTTGGCCGCAAGAAGACACAATATTCCTTCTCAGTTCACTGATTTGTTGATCACTTGTATAACAGATCTTTTATAAACTTTAGAAGAGCATAACCAATGACGTTAAGAGTAATTCAACAAGAATTTAAGGAGAGGACACTATTATCAGATTCAAATCATTACCACATGTACTAATGATAATGATAAATAGTTTCTTATAATACTATTAACATAAAGAGCATAAGGCTCAATCATATCAAACAATAAATCAAAATAAGGCTTGCTCTAGATTAACGTCATAGCCATACGGTAACTGTGAGGCTAACGTGAAGAGCAAGCTACAAAGATTAACAAAGATAAGGCCTAGATCTAATTAATAGCACAACTTCATTCACAAATACACTAACTAACTAACATGCCTCTACTAATGAACATACAAGTACAAACTAATAAGTAATTACTGTAATACATCTGAGTACCAAGTGGCTTTCTTCTTCAAAATAATAATTTCAAATTTGCAGTGCACAATGACATCCAAACAATGCAGTAGTAGATCTACAGACGTTTAGCTTTGTTCATGTCGGTAGGGGGAGTGTACTGATTTAAGTTCATTGGTATGCCCATAATTGACCAGGATGCACCCACTCTGAATAATTATTTGTCAATAAAATAGTAACAAGTGCACCCTTATGCTTGAGTAGCCTGCACTTATATGCACCCACAACTTTCAGATGCTGGAGATGCTTTTGGCTTTGTTTAAAATATTTTCTTAAAATTATTGAAAGAGTAATATCTACATATTAACCATGACTAGAAAGCAAAATAACAAATCAAGGAAAGGATAAAATCTACATAAGCTAATAAGTGATTTAAACAGCATAATTAAATAAGTATCATCAAGAATGAAAAGCAAAGTTATTTATTTGAGCGATCCTTCCACTTGTAGAGATCAATAGTGAGTGCCTGGGGTATTCCCATCATCGAGGAATTAGAGAAGACATCAACAAACACTTTAACAGAATATGGTATATCAAATGTTTTGATCACTTGAAATAAATTATAGGTGGATCCACTGAATTTATAAACAGCTACTTTCGCATGAGGATCTGCTGCAATTGATGGCTTATAATCCCATGAAGATGTGGCCATAAAGTATTCACCCCTGATGGAAAAAATGTCGAGTGCCATGACATGTGATGTTAAAATAGTTTGAAAGACCTCAAAATGTCCTGTGAAGTCACTCAATCTGTAAACAACCAATGGTCCATTTACACTGGCAGCCACTAGGAAGTGACTAGGATTAGCATACGTATAGTAGAGATTATACATTTCTGTTGAATTTGGTAAAGGTATTGCCTGGAATATCTCAAAATGGGATCCATTCAACCTGTAAATGAATGAGTTTACAATGCTTGATGAGCTATTATATCCACAGGTAATGCTTAAAAAGAGATTACCTTCGATGTCAAAAAAATTTGGTTTTATTCCACATACGGTCTCTAGAGATTGAAAAAAATTGAACTGATGATGTTTAGGATCCCATTTATAAACTTTAGAGGCTACTGGTGCAGTTTGTGAGAAATAATAATTTAGTTTTGTAAGAGTGATAAAGAATTCGCCTGCTGTCTTTCCGAATGTGATCTCATTAGTCTCATTAAAAGTTTGTACTTGTGTTAGAGTCCCTTCAATGTCTTCATCAAATGTCCAATTGTAAAGTCGTGCTCCTATTTTTTCTGTACCTTGGGAACCATGGCAGGCTACAGCGATGTATACTGTGTCGTTAATCTTAATGTTTTTTGTAGATGTTGCCCAAGGAATCATTACTGTCTGGGAATGCCTCAGTCCCTCTCCTGTATTCTGGTATATTGAGACACTCTGCCAGTGGCTACTAGTTGCTATTATGTACTGCCTCATTTGCTGTCCATCCCATGCTGAGAACTCATCAATGTGGTCCATATATGGTATGGAGGAAGATTTCCATTTAGAAAAAAACCTTGGACCTGTCAATCGATAAACTATTAAGTAAAAAGAGAGGTGATACAGTGTGAGATTAATTTCATACATACTAGTC